ATGCATTTGCTCTGAAACACTTTCTGGGCTATAGATTGGGAGCTGCAGAGTCTCCATTGATGCTAAACTCTAAGAAGACCTTAGAGCTTGCCTGAAATCACTCAGGCAGCTTCAGGGAAGAGAGCACAGTCCATCCACTCCTGGGCCACTTTCAGCTGTGGTCTTTTTATGCCATGGTCAGCATCTGGAGATCTGCTCCCCACCCCTTTTTTGTTGTGTTTGTTAACTCTCACTGCCAACTTTCAACATCATTTTGGTAGATGATCAGGCTAACAGTCTTGCACCCTTTCCCCTTGCTCTCCCTTCCACTTGGGTAGATTAATCCTCTAGCAGCTCACAAGTGCCTTGTCCTGTACATGTTATTTTTTTTTTCAGGCTGTTAATGAATTTCCCTTCCGTCCTGCCCTTTTACAGCTTGACAGCAGTTAGAGAGCAGTATTAAATCACATTTCCTTGGTACACCTCCTTTCCCCATCTGAACCGAGGCTGTCTTTTTTCCCTATAAAGCTGTTAACATGAGATTGTTGCCTCAAAGGAAGAGAACCACGGCATGTCCATGTTTTCAAGGATTGCTCTGTTTCAACACTGTCTATGGAGGGGAAAGTACTCACACAATTACCCAAGTGCAGTTGCCAAGAGATTAATGTTCTCGTTAAAAATAATTTGGTTATATCACATGGACACATTTACATCCTTGTTTCGCAATGTTGTCTTTTAAAGCATCTTCGTTGAGAGTCAGAGAGCACCCAGCCTCCTTAGGAAGCACCGAGGTGGCAACTGCTTTGCTGTCCAGCCTACACACGAGGAAGGGATCCAAATAAAATTTATCTTTGTGTATTACACTTCATGCAATTCTTTAGGTGCAGGTGACACTAAGGGTGCAGAACGTGTCCCTCATGCAGGATTTGATCAGTCTGCTCTGCAGCACCCAGAGCAAAATCCTTATTTAATATCTCCTCCCACAGAACAAAGAATCTTGACCTAATAAAAAATGAACATTTATTTTTCACTTTTAAAGATGCCAAAATCGTGACACAGATTCCCTGAAGCAGCAAATGACCCTCAACACTGGCCCACCAGAAAGATAACAACTTTTAACCCCAGACTGAGTGTATTCCTCTTCTTCCCGGGCAGCAAACAATCACAGAATCCTAGACCGGCCTGGACTGGAAGGGCCCTCAGCGATCATTTAATCCAACCTCCCTGTCATGGGCAGGGACGCCTCTCGACTAGACCAAGCAACACATGGGGACCAAGGGGGGATTGAACCCGCGACCTTGGTTTTATCAGCACCGTGCTCTAACTGACTGAGCTAACTGGCCCCCTAACAGTTCAAAGTAACACCCCTTCCCCCCCGAATATTTCTGGAATTCTGAAGAGTTTCACTAATTGCTAATTTTTGTTTGTTGCTCGGAAAACTTCTGCTTTTTCATTAGATTAATTCTGAGCCCTCCCAGAGCAACATTCTCATCCTACAGGTCCTAAGCAGGTTTAAATCCCCTCTTTTGATCTGGCTTCAGGTCCATGTTTTAAAGTCTGTGTGACTTCTTCATGTGGTGTGTGACTACCCGTCTCCTAAGAAATACCGTAGAGTAAAAGGGAAGGAAGCGGCACTTTTTGTCACTGAGTATATCACTGGGTTGAGAACTTGGAGTAGCAACAGACAAGCTCGTCTTTGGAACTGGGGTAATTTTTTCCGTTGAGCCAAGTAAGTTCTACTTGTTTTACTGCTTACGTCTTTCTTGAGTTTGTGGTGGGATGGAAAAAGGGATTGTGTGATGTGATAGCGTAACACAAAATTTCTGGTGCCTTGGATCTCTCGGACATGCGTTCTCCACCTGGGTGTTTGAGCCCTCGGCTTACATTGAGCTAGCAAAGCTTTTCGGGAACAACAAAGAGAGTTTCTGAGCTCTACGCATCAGCATTACTGCTCTGATCCTTGCCCCCTCCCATAGCCGTGCTGCTAAATTTAAGGCTGTTTTTTTATTCCTAAAGTCTTTGCACAGCTTCGGTACGAGGTGAAAGCAGCTGCTTGCTTTCTTTTGCGTAACACCGAGGTGTGTGTAAAGGAGAAAAAGGAGATGAAAAGAGTTTCAGCAGAAAGTAATTTCCATGGAAAGACAAGTTTTTGCAGCGACTGCCTGAAACGTGAGCAAGCCCTCTATATTTAGAAATCGCCCTCTTCTGAATGTGGTCCTTCTAAGGACCACACTTCCCAGCTTTTGTGCGACAGCGGGAAATTTGGGGCGGTGGGTGCTTTTCTTGGGTTGATTTTTATTGTCCTAAACCACCAACTGAACACTCACAGTCACCCGAATAGGCAGGGACTCAGGTGTTGCTCACACCTGCAAGTCCCACACAGCTCCGCAGCCGCCTTGAAAGCTTAGAACCACCAACATGCCTGCTTTGGGGTAACGGGGTGCAGCTCCAGTTCCTGTGGGAGCAGGGAATCCAGACAGTGCTTTGAAAACATCACTTGCAAAAAGCAGGAGAGCAAGATACCACCAGGTTCCACCAGCCCAACCTTTATCTACACTAACACAAACTTGCTGGTTTTGGATACAAAAGGTATTGGGTCATGAACAACTGACCAACAAATGGCATTGGTGGGCGAAAGTCTAAGTAAAGGCCTTGCCTTTGCAGACAGAACCAGCAGCCCTAATGTGAGGTCCCGTTTCTACACAGAAACAATCTTATTTTAGAACAAATCGAATGTCAGACCTGTCATATCAGTTGTTGTCTCATGATTCCTGCTCTTCAGGTGGACGGGGAAAAAGGTTTTTTCCCCAAAGAGTAGGCTTCAGAAACTTGTTAAAAGAGATTTCTATGCCTGGGTCATGTCCCTGAACACATTTTAATGAAAGATTTAAACTCATCTTCCATTGTAATGACATTATTTCGTATCTGCAAGTAATGCCACTCTTTGGAACAGCATTTCAGACTGGAGTAATAAACTGTCTTCTCTTCCTGTGTGTTATGGTTAAGCCTTTTAGACACATTAGGTAAAGGATTTTTGGGTAATAATAATAAAAATAAATTTAATATGTGTCATGTTACAAGCATATGAAGCTCTCCTTGGAGAAAATTTTCTTGTTAGGATCTAAATAGTTACAAATTCAAAATCAATGCAATCACTTTTGCTGTATTCTTAAAAGTTCCCTTCCTCATTTCAAGGTCCCTCAGTCGAAGGAATTCACTTATATACATACATATACCCATACATAAATACATACATATATACCTATAGCCTTGAAAGGAGACCGCTGCCCTGCGTGATCCTGCTCCAGCAGAGGGTTGGACTAGATGAGCTCTAGAGATCCCTTCCAATCCCCCACATTCTATGATTCTATGATTATATATGTGTGTGTGTGTATATATATATATATAAGAGTTTTGTAAAAATAAGCTTAGGAGCCCAAGGGATTAGAAGCTCCAATGAAAATCCTACCCTTACACTCCCTTTCTGCCTTTGAACTGCTCTTGGGAAAACAGGAGGAAGAAATAAGTGCAGAAAGATGCTCAGCTGTCAGGAGGCAAACGTGGCTGGACTACATCTGAGTTTAGATGATTTAGCTCGCAGAAAAACATGCAGAAAATCATGCCACCCCAAAACGATGCTTCTTTTTTTCAGAAAGTCAAGAAGAATCTGCTGCAGAAGTAATCATGCTTAAATCAGAAGAACCCAAACAACATGACGACAAACTGAACGTGGCGTGTTTGGCAAGGACTTTCTACCCAAAGAGCATCAGCCTTGATGCATCCAGCGGTGACGTTGTGTATGACCTGGAGGCACCCCTCGTCGCACCCGAGGGGATGTACAGCAGCATAAAGGTCGTTGAGGTAGAACCAGACACAGAGGTGACCTGCAAGGCTGTGCACCAGGGGAACAAGACCGCAGCCAGCGTTCTTCTGCCAGGTAGAGTGTCGCAGTCCAAATGCAACGTGATTCTGGGAAAATCCAAACCAAACCAAACAAATCTACTCCTCTCCTCCCAAAGGAATAAAAAAACCCTCTAATATTTGCGAATCTACCTTTTTCTATGTTCGAGGGAGAAGAGTATACATACCCGCTGGGAGAAACCTTGAAATAACTTTTATAAAAACACAAAATCAAAAAGACATGTGATTTTCTTTCCACCCCTTAATATTTTGGTTACTTTTTGATCACTTTTTAAATTGTTCTTTTTCTATGGTGGAGTTCATTTTTAAAAAGGAGAGAAAATAAAACTCAACAATCCTGGGGGTTTTGTCTGCAATCACATGTAAAAAGCTGATTTTTCTCTTCAAATTATCTCAGAACTAATGACTTGCCACCTGATTCTCCAATATTGCTTTTCTGCTGCTGGGAAAAGAGTCATAGGTGTGTTCTGTGTAATTTATTGCTTTCTATAGTTTGGATACAATTTATAGTGTCTCTTCATTGTTCAACAGACGAGAAAACTGAAGAATCAGAAACAGTTAATGCTTGCAGCATTACAGACGGCTCTACAAAAGGTTAGCTGCCTAAAAGAACAACTAGTACGGCGACTTTATTGAGGATTCAGTATTCATGAAAATGCATTATCTTTGGTACAGAAATGTCAGAATTGTTGACACTTATTAAGCAACAAGCTACTCTTTCTGTGTTTTAGTAAACATGAGAAATTGCTTTCTCAGGTGCAGAAGTGTCAGAATTGGAATTTCTTATTGAGAAATAACCTGCTGTTTCATGTGAACATGCTAAATATCTGACAAATTTCCATGGGCAGTGGGAAGTAATTCCTCAATGGGCAGGCATCTCCACTCTTCCCTACATTTGATAATTGCCTCTTTCATAATTTCCTTTGTTCCTTCTTCCCTCATCCACCTATGACGTATGGATTTTCCTTCTTTTCCTGGGAGTGTGTGTGGGTTGTAATATCAAGACCAGGCTCCCTTCCCTCTTCTTTTTAAAGCAGATGTCCAAACGGAGAAAGTGAATATGCTGTTCATGGCTGTTTTGGGTTTGAGAGTCTTGCTGGCAAAAAGCATCGCCTTCAGCACAGTCATGACCATCCAGCTGTTTCTCTTCTAAGGTAGGACACACATCATTCAGTCCCTGGGAACACAGGAGGCATCACAAGGGGTAACCAGTTGCCTTTGCATCCTTCTGTGACCCCATCAAGAGAGACATCAGCTCAGCCGCTCCTGCTTCCACTGGAGAAGTTACTGGAGCCTCCACATGGCACCTCGTCCCCAACCTGCTTTTGCATCGAGCTAGCCCAGTGTGTCTCAGGTTCTACCCGAAATCTTCTGCTCGTGGTTCCAAGTGGCAGAGCACAAAGTCTGGATGAATGTCCAGATCAGCAAGAACTATAAAGAAGGAATCCCAGAAGCCAACAAATGTTAAACAGAGGGACAGGAAAAGGAGGATGGGGAATTCTGAACATCAGGTTGCCAAATTGACCAAAGCCAGAATTGCCCAGTGGATTCGAGATTGGCAGAAACTCGGCACCACTGCATCAAATGTGAATAAGAATTTAAAACAAACACTGTTTTCTCTTTCAGGTACTATAGGAGTGAGCCATCAGTGGCTGAGGAAGAGTGGGAAAGAACACACAGCAAAATAATTTAAGCACCATGGGTCAGCCTTGCTACCAATAAGCAGAATCAACAACCTCCCCAGTTCCTGCCTATCTATGAGTCCCTGTATTTCATCAAGGTGCTCTTCAGTTAACACCATTTGGAAGCCTTCTTAGGCAGCTAATGCTGCTGAGCTCTTGTCTAGCTTAGTTTTATTAATTGTTAGAATGAGTTTCATTATTTCTAATTTCCTGAAGACACTTCCCTCATCCCTTGCTGGGTAGGAATAGTCAGCTCTCCTACTCCTATATCCATTGTGCTGCAGCATTCAAATTGCTAAGATAGTTTTGAAAATGTAAAAACTGAACTTCATACTTATGATGCTTTAAAAATATCATCTCTGTTCATATTACATTATCGTCCACCAAGGTAATGCTTCCCTGCTTAGGGATCTCAGGCACAGAGGGAGCATTGTACAGTTTTAATTTTTAGAAGCTTTTGTTAGTGGCAATTCTCTAGTGCAGGTAACTAGATCTCCACTGGACCTGAGGGAATGCACTTCTGGCATGCGTGCAGTAGTATTTTGATTTTCATCTCTTCTTTAAAATATTTTTCTCTTAAGTATATGGTACCTGCATTTTAGGTTTCCTTCATATACACCAGAATAAAGTTTTATTATGTTCAGGTTTATGATGTTTGGTTTGTTCTCTCTTCTGAAAAGGAGATGGAAGTTGTTGAAATTCCACTGTCCAACTCAGTGACCACTGAGAACCAGAAACCTGCCTATTACAGCCTAGATTTCCTTTTCATTAAATTTGTCTTTCCTGGGCTTCCCATGGGGAAAGAGAGCGTCTCCTTGGCAAATTTATGGAGTTTAGAGGAATTCAAGTTGTTCGTGCCACTTTCAAATTACTCAGGCTCAAAATCGTGGATTGCAACGAAAAGAGAGGCGAGCCTGAAGAGAAAACAGTTAAGACAAGGGGCAATATGAGCATTAACGTGCAGAGCTCAGAAGGCGAGAGGACGGGCTGCTGATTTTCCACTCCCCAACATGAAGGAGGGGCCAAAAGGAAACACCGAGGGGTGTTTGGGTAGATAACTGTCTGGCCAGCAGCCAAAAAAACAAAACCCAGCGCTGACTTTCATCTCACCAGCTGCTGCCTGCTTGAAGCAGGATACTGTGGTGAAAACACACGAATAAATCACGCTGTGTGAGACAAATCCACCCCCTTGCTTTTAAAAACACGTTAACCACTTCCTGGGGAGCAGCAAATAATGGCACAGGCAGATCAGGACAGAGAAGAAGACTTCTGGCCATTTCTGCTGGAGCCAGAGCTGAAAAGGGTGAGGAGGTATGTCATGGGTATGAGAGCTGCTATCAGAGCAGCGTTTCTTCTTCAGCACAGAGCACATTTCTCCTGGTGTCATCCCTGTGCACTGTCTGGGAAATCATCATTCACCGAGCATCCCTGTTTTGGCCAGTTCACCTGCTCTTCCAAAGACAATTACCAGCGATGGAGGAGTGAATCCTTTCAAGCTCATCCCTCACCTACAAAGTTTGTCCTGTCCAGCTCCAGCTGCAGCTGGACTCCTGCCCAGACCCTCTGAGATGTTTGGCCCCACAGGTGAGGGGGAGGTGGAGCCCAGTGGGAAAGGGTGGAAGGAGGTTCAGAACGCAGAGTGTCCTGTCGAAAGGCAAAGTGCTTGGGCAAGGATCAGAGAATTTCTGCTGCTCCTGGACCCAGTGCTCTTTTGGAACAGACACTCATTGAATCATAGAATAGGCTGAAAAAAAATCATAGAATAATAGAATCATTAAGGTTGGGAAGGACCTCTATGGTCATCAAGCCCAACCTTCAGCCCAGCACTACCATGACCACTAAAGATCTACTTTGAGATCATCGAGCCCAACCATTAACCTACCACTGCCAAGTCCACCACTAAACCATGTCCCTAAGGGACCTATAACATTGGTTCGAGGATGACAAAGGGGTGCTCAGTGCCCTGCAAAGCTGCTCAGCCTGACTGTGATGCTTATACGTGGCTGCTATACAGAGCAGGGCTTGAGATCTGATGCCAGGTGGCTGGGTCAGGACCTAAGATTCCACTCCTAAAGATAAGTCTCTCTGCAGCATCGGTCACTACACATTGTCCCAGAGTCTATTCCTGACTGTTTCTTATCTGGTTTTAGCTCTAGGATGGATGGGTCCGTTTATGTTGGAGTGGGTCGGGCGTCTACTCTTTTCCTGGACCCAGCATGGTTTTTTTTCTTCTGTTCGTAGAAGGGACTTTAACACAAGGCAGATGATGAAAAAAGACCCTTCTTTTTCCAGGGAAATGAAAGAATTGTCAGTCAGACCAGAAGCCTTGAGAGCACAGCGTGGAGGGACAGAAAAAAAAGGACTGTGCTCATGGGGGCTTCTGGATGTTAGATCAGCTGAGGAGAAGCAGCATCCAGCTTCCATGCCCTGGGTCAGGGGCTTACCTGCTCCCTGACTCTGTGTACAATGGAAATCATAGAACCCTAGAATGGCCTAGGCTGGAAGGGACCTCAGAGATCATTTAATCCAACCTCTCTGTCACGGGCAGGGACGCCTCTCAACTAGATCACATGGGGACTGAGCAGGGATTGAACCCGCGACCTTGGTGTTATCAGCACCACCCTCTGACCGACGGAGTCAAACTGTGTACAACACAAATGTTCCACGTACAAGAGAAATGCTCTGCTCAGAGGTGTGGCCAGGGAGAGAGGACAGAGAACTCAATCAGGAGGCTGAAGCTGTGCTGGAGAGAGTGTTGCTAGCAGCAGTTCCTCTTTAAAAAGACGCTGTCTTGTCTTTTGCCCCCTAGCAATGGAACAAATATTAGCTCTGCAAACATCAAGCACAGGCTTTCTGAGATGCCGGGACTCCTTAGCCTGGAGAAGACTGAGAGAACACCTTACCAACATCTTTAAATATCTAAAGGGTGGGTGCAGGGAGGATGGAGTTGGACTCTTACCAGTAGTGCCCAGTGACAGGACAAGAGGCAACGGGCACAAGCTGGAATATAGGAAGTTTAATCTCAATATGAGGAGAAACTTCTTTACTGTGAGGGCGACAGGGCACTGGAACAGACTCCTCAGCTCCATCTCTGGAGACTTTCAAAACCCACTTGGAAGCAATCCTGTGTGATGTGCTCTAGGTGACCCTATTTTAGCAGAGGAGTTGGACTAGATGATCTCTAGAGGTCCCTTCCAGCTCTGAGGATTCCGTGATAACCCCTGAAGATGTGGGTGTGTACTATGTTTTTGTGTGGGCAGACACCAAAATCCACACGCAAATGCTTTCCAAACACAGAAATGTATGCTGACCCCCTCTCTCCCCAGAATGACTAAATGAACATGCATGGCCAGTGGTCACAGAGCTAACAATACAGATTAGACATCTTTAGGCATTTTGCAGATCAAAAACTGTTCTCCAGCTTCTGATATGGCCTCACTGTCTCAATGGTGTATGTAGATATAAGGAGTGGGGGCTGACTCACTGTGGCCACTTGTGGGATTCCCTAAAGAACGTGAAGTTACCCTTTGGCCATGTCACAGAAAGCCCAACTTAGCCTTGAGCAGACTGGGCAGAAACTGGTTCTGTACACAGCTATCAAAACCACTGAGGACTTTTCAATTTTTTTTTTCTTTATTTTGCCCTGCTCTTCCCAGAAGAGGCATCTGCAGAGCTGGTGACTTGGCTTTGAAAGGACAAACTGGACTCTCAGGAAAATATATAGTAAAGCCAGGTTTTAGGTATTACCCAGGAACGTGTCAGAACCAGCCCCAACGTAAGCTGCTGTCAGTGAGGGGTATGCCAGAGATGTTGCAGGTGACTGGCTCTGAGATCTTTCCACCCCATGTATTTCTTTGCATATGAGAAAGGGTATTTGGAAATGAGAGGCTGACTTTTAAAAGAATTCTCAAGTAACAAACTGTGTCTTCCTCTTTTGCCCCTTACTCCAAGAGCTTCCCGGATTCTGATTTGTGACTGGTTCAAGAAACTGATGAAAACACTGAATTGAAACTTGTGATCTCTTTCTCTCTCTTTTTTTTTTTTTTTCTTTAAATACCCCATAGAATCATGGAATCATAGAATCACTAGCCCCACTATCATGTGGTTTGATGTTCTCAAGCCCCCCTTTGGAGAATTTGAGAAGCTTCAGGCAGGAATTGGTACCCGCTCCCACAGAAAGGTGTCGGGATCGTTAGCTCACCTGAAGTGAACCTCTACCAACTCACGCAGCCTGGGCAACAAACAAGAGGAGCTTGTAGCCAGGATGCAGCAGGAAAACTTTGACATAGGGGCTCTCACAGAAAGGTGGTGGGACGCCTCACACGACTGGAGTGCCACAACTGATGGCTACAAGCTCTCAGGAGGGACAGGCAAGGAAGGAGGGGTGGGGGGG